AAGTCTGTCGATACCAGTGGCGATTTTTGTGCAAAAAAGATCATTTTGCAGTAAATACTAATTTTGTGTAAGTTAAATATAAAAAAATAAATCATGCAATACTAACCTATATGATGTGCAATAAACTTTATAATGTTTTAAACTTTAAAACCTATTGGATTTGGAATAAGGGTATGCAGTTAAGTGGAATGTAGGTAAAAAACTTAAAAATACTCTTGTTTTTCCTATACAATATTTATTACATATATAAAAAGATGTTAAATAAAATACAATAAATAAAATAAAAATATAAATAAATCAAGATTTATTTTATACAAATTTACAAATCCAATTTTCGAGTTAATTTGAATAGTATTAAATAATGAGAGATATTTAAATCAAAAATTAGATTTTTAAGACTAATAAATTTATAAAAGTTAATAAATCAATAAATTTACGCTACTTATAGCGGATCTGCCTATAACAATTTTGTAAAATCCGAAAACTTTATTCAATAAACCTGCATTAGTGCTAGGCGTTGAAAAAAACTACATTTTTATTTAAAAAAAAAATATTCATTTCTAAACAATAGTTATAAATTCCAAAATGGAACTTTAATTTTTAAAAATTTTATTAAGTATAAAATACACTTAAATGGATATCTGTACTAAAGCTACTTCAATTAACGGCTTTAAATGACAAATAACAAATAGCTAGAGACAAATAACTATAGTTAAATAACAAATAGCTAGAGACAAATAAAAACAATAATAAGGTTCTACTCCTATTTATAAAGTAAAACTGATATTTAATCAAAGATAATATATAAAAGACTCTATTATATTCTAAATACAGTGCTTTTCAGATAAAAGTATCCACCTTAAGTAACTTTTGAAGGACTGATTATTACAAAAAACAAAAAAATACGTCAATTAATATTCGAAGGGGGAGATATCGTGCCATATTTAAGTTTGCTAAAAAAGTCACCCTTTCACCCCTACTATCATCCCTTCAATTTTTTTAAATGGCTTGCCCCATTTTTTGATCCATTTTTGGATTGCTCTCGTTTAACTGATTTCAAAAATGTATAAAACATGGGGATTAAAGTAATTAGTTTACGATCTACAGAATTTTAAATTAAAATAAAATTGAATTGTGCAAAACTTTTATTTTAATGATTTTGTCACAAGCATTTCCAATGACAAAACGAATATTTCATTTTCAAAATTTATTATAAAAATTGTTCAAAATGTCCACCATTTACTTCCATACAATGGTATAACCTAGATTGAAAAGCCTCCCTGACATTACCGAACACGTGTGCATTTAAATGTAGGCATTCATACTCTATTCTTTGTCGTAAATCTTCTAAAGATTCTGGTTGGGTAGCATAAATTTTTGTTTTTAAATAACCCCATAAAAAGAAGTCTAGAGGTGATAAATCCGGTGATCTAGGTGGCCACTCCATCATCGAGCCTCTTCTACCTATCCAACGATTGGGGAAAGTTTCATTTAAAAATTGTCGTACTGGCAAAGCAAAATGTGAAGGCGCTTCATCCTGTTGAAAGACAAGCAAATCTTCAGAAAGATTATGATCATTTTCTATTATTGTTGTAATACGTGGATTAATTACTTCTCTCAATAACTCAAGATATGACTCCATTTAAGTTTCCGTCTAAAAAGAAAGGTCCGACTATGTGGTCACCTAAGATACCACACCATACATTTAACTTTTGAGGATTCTGTGTGTGGTATTCACGCACAACATGTGGATCACTCTCAGCCCAATATCTGCAATTATGTCTATTAACTAAACCATTAACTGAAAATGTGCATTCATCCGAAAAACAAAGGTTGTGCAACAAATGTGGATTGTCAGTCAAGCGCTGACTCAATAGTTCACAAAATTCAAGACGACGATCAAAATCATCTTTATACAACTCTTGAACCAATTTAATTTTGTATGGATGGTACTTATGCTTGTGTAATATTCGATAAACTGTGGAAGATGAAACACCTACTTTTCTGCTTATTGTTGTCAGTGACTGTGCTTGTTGATTTTCAAGACTTACTTGTCCTAAAACTGCGACTTCAATTGCTTCGTTATTTACGAGTTCCAGTCGGTTATGTTTTTTATTGCCAACTGACCCGGTTGATGTAAATTTATGCATAAGATCAATTACATACTTATGAGTTGCATGACCTCCTTGGTGTGTTTCGTTGAAAATTCTAGCAGCAGCTCGTGCAGAACTGTTATTTTTGTAGTATAAACCTACAAGTTCAATTCTTTCTTGTAAACCATTTTCAAATCAAATAAATAACCTCAACAAATCAATGTGCACATGTATCAAAATACACTATAAAAGTAATTTAAATTCATTTTTCAAATCTCCAATACCTTTACCATGTATCATAAAAAAACTTCAACAAGTTTTTAGCGGTACGATTAAGGTATAATGTACTCTAAATCCAATTTTCCTGCAGTCAGTAAGGTGAGATGTAAAAATTTGTCACTCAAATAATGGAACCCTGTAGATCATAAACTAATTATTTTAAACCCCATGTTTTAAACATTTTTGAAATCAGTTAAACGAGAATAATCCAAAAATGGATAAAAAAATGGGGGAAGCCATTTAAAAAAATTGAAGGGATGATAGTAGGGGTGAAAGGGCGACTTTTTCAGCAAACTTAAATATGGCACGATATCTCCCCCTTCGAATATTAATTGACGTATTTTTTTGTTTTTTGTAATAATCAGTCCTTCAAAAGTTACTTAAGGTGGATACTTTTATCTGAAAAGCACTGTATATAACTCAATACTATTTTTGTATTTATACTTCTTAGTCTATTTTTTCTTGAAATATCTAATTTTTTGTGGTTTCATCTCGAATGCGGATATTGAAATAATGTTTAATATAAGCTTTATCAAATCTAATGCCTGATTTTCAAAAATATCGCCATTAAAAATGTAATCTCCAAAAAAATTTAATATGTTAGATTCTAAGGTTTTTACAGTAGATATTTAAAATGAATATATCCAAAATGCTCCGAGCATAACACTCTTTCTCGGATACCTTCATTTTCTTCAAGTGCTACAACTGATAGCCAAATTTTTCTTGTATGCCTATCAGTTGGGAATCTAAAAAGCAAGCATAAGCATATTTGTTTTACTACTAAAGTCCAGAATAAACAATTTTTTGCGAAATTAATAACTAAAGGAAATAAATAATAGTAAAACAAAGGTAGATTTATGCTGCGTTTGAATATCCACATCGGATGCATCTGAGATGATGTAAATCTTTGATCACGTGATTCAATATACGTAAATTTGTAGGACGGATGTGTTCGATGTGGTTAAAAAAACGCTCGAGATGTAAAAAATGCATCGGATGTGGACATTCAAACGCAGCAAATACATGTGATATTACGGCAAAAATTTTTAAATCTACACCTCTACACCTCTAAAATATAATTTTTTTAAATATATTTTTAGATCGATTAAGTATAATTATAATTACCTTTTATATTTGGTGTAAAATGTTACTGAAAATTCGGTTAAATGTTTATCTTCTCGTTTACAACGATTTATCTGCAATTCTTTGGGTTTTTTTTTATTTGGTGTCATCGGCATCGACTACTACGGCCATTAGCCTCGTGTTCTGTGTAGGCTTTGTTACTGTTTCCCAGCGCAACTTTAGGAACAGCACTGTTAATTAGAACCCAACAGTGAATGGCCGAGTGGGAGATCCTACCAAGGCATCAGAATTAATTTTAAATAATTAAATTAAATGAAAAAATCCCGGCCAACGGTGGGATTCGATCCTGAGACCTTCCGATCTCAAAGTCATGACTCTAACCATTGAGCCAACCCACCCCCTTCTCTGGTTTTATTGTAGTTAAACCATTTTGTATACCTAATGAATGAAATAATAAATTTACATCAGGCATTATAATCTGAAACAAAGACAATGGTTAAGAAAATAGTTTTCTATTTTATAGAGGACCCTTACCAAATCTACTAGAATGTATAAATAATAATTATTTATAAAATAAATTCTGGAAGTCAAAAAATAAACCATCAAAAAAGACAAGACAAATGACAAGAAAAATTGACAAGTGACAATTGACATAAACATAAACGTTCCGAACTTGTTCACGGTACTTCTCGTGGATACTATTTTAGCAAATTACTTTATTACGTTGTGTTAACATAACAGGTAGGTTAACTAGGTAAATGACAAATAGAAGTTTTGCAAGGTTTTGATTTCCCTCGACAACTTCTCATGAACGTTGCATTTACGTTGTATAGTAATGTTATTATGTTCCCTTAATGCAACAACGCCTAAAGGCTTGGCAACGTTATGTGCTAGCTGGGATGTGTCACAATATATCTCGAAACTATTCTAATTAATAAAACTTGTTGCTATTAGTGTGTTATAGGTAAAAACTATTTTTAAAAACTACACAGCATGGCAACAGCGAACCATGCAACGCATGTCGGTTCTTATACGAAATCGCTACGCGCTACGTTTCTTTGCAATGTATGAACGAGTTTAAAGGTAAATAAAGGATCTTTGATTATAGCCGATATACAATTTGATAAATACATATTTTTTAAAGTGCTTAATCCTATTTTATCCCACTAAATATTTTACACTTTTAAATTCAAACGTAGGAAACAATCGATAGTCTGGATTAAAAATTAGGCTTATGGGATTACTAAGAGATATCGTTCAAAAGAATGTAACTAAAAAAATATATTTTAATTTTTTTTGTACGAGATAGGTACTTTTTAAAATAAACACCAAAAGCAAAAAGATAGTGTGGCCACCTACATAACTAAACGCGGGACACGCCCTCTTAATAAAATTATGCAATTACAATTAGGCACATACGTTATCTACTACAAAGTTCATAATTTTACACTAGGAATTTGTAGTCGAATTTTGGGACAACCTGTATATATTTTCATGAATATCTAGGTATATTATTGTAAAATTAACTATTTACATTTTCAATAGGAAACACGAATCGAAAAAAATTCTTCCAGATATTCTGTCAGCTGTAGGCAATACTCCTATGGTAAAATTAAATAAAATACCCAAGGCTGAAGGCATAGAATGTGAAATATGTAAGTAAACTTAAATTTTTTAATGGTAATAATAATTATTAAGGAAAATATATCATTTTTGATATATCACAAACTCTTTATGTTTGGTTTTGCTACAAATTTAATACAAATTTAGACACTAAAAAAATATAAAATTTATTAATTTGTATATTTAAATTGTAAATTTTCCTACTCTGTGCTGCTTATACAGTGAGCATCATAAGTCTTACCCCCCTATCTAACTCGTTACAGGAGTCTTGTTAGGAAAATCGGCGAGACACGTCGATTTTTGATTTCTACAATGTACATTTTTGTATGAATATTTTATCCCTAATTTCATCCCTTACTGGAGGGGAGTAAATCTTTCGAAAAATTTAAATAGCATGGGGTGGTGAATGATAGCTCATTTGAAAGGGGGTTTTATTCTCTATTCAACTGCAAAAAAATTTGAAATTTGCTTCATTAATTCTCGAATAATTATTGTTTCAAAATAACGAAAATTAACGTAGCGCACTCATACTCATACTCATAATATCGGTTTTAGTTCAGACGTGACGTAAAACTTTTTGCCATTCGATAAGGTCACTGTTAATTTACTTGCTTTCCTATTTGTGATGTTCTGTTATTTTTAAATATTAATAAATCAACAGGTAATGAAGCAAATTTTAAAATTTTTTGCACGGTTGAGTAGAGAATAAAACCGCCTTTCAAATGAGCTATCACTCAACACCCTATGCCTTTTAAATTTTTCGAAAAGGTTGCTCCCCTCCAGTATGGGATGAAATTAACGGTAAACTATTCATGCAAAAATGTACATTGTAGAAATCAAAAATCGACGTGTCTCGGCGATTTTCCTAACAAGACTCCAGTAACGAGTTAGATAGGGGGGTAAGAATTATGATGCTCATTGTATAAATTTTTTTTTACCACTCTTTATCAATGATCTATTTCTATATTTCACTTCAGTATCCAAAACTTTATCTTTTCTTTATTTTAACTTTTTAAACATCTTTAATTTAACGAGGACCGCTGGTATAAATGGTGTCTGCATATTATGTCTATACTACTAACTATTTTTCACATACACGGTAAATTCTAATTTGATACTGTTTTAACTGTGTATAGTCATAAAAATAAATAACTTTTTCAAAAAACTCAAGAATAAGAAACTTATATTAATTTATTTCAAAATATATACAATACGATCCTGTCTAAATTAAATCATTTAGCTTATAGGTACATAGCTATATTTAATAAAAGTATCAACGTAGGATTCACCCTGTATAAAAAATTCAGCAAGTTCGACCGAAAGCCATTTGCCATAAGGAAACTGCGAGGTTCTCTATCAATAGCTACCTAATTTTATACTCCTGTTCATATAATTTTTTATATTCTTTTTAGATGGAAAATGCGAGTTCTTGAATCCTGCTGGTTCAATCAAGGACCGCATATCTCGAAGATGTATCGAAGATGCAGAAAATAATGGTTCTTTAAAACCAGGCGGAACTGTTATAGAAATTTCTTCTGGAAACACCGGTGCTAGCATCGCTTGGACATGTGCTATTAAAGGTATGATTTTTCATATTTAAATAGTCATCTATATTATAATAAAGTGACAAAGAATCTTTACTATTAATAAGAATCGTAATAATAGGAAGTAAAAAAATCTAGTATTGAAATAAAATGTTAATATTTACATATTTAAATAAAATAAACATTCATGTTAGTGTATGGACTGGAAATAAATTAACAAATTAGCAAATATTTATTAAATTGAGATAAAGATATACTTGTTTTAATTGCAGTAGGCAGAGCATTAAATTGACGCAATCCATATTATACAAAAAATAGATTTTTTGCTAAACAGGAATAAATTAAATTTAAGATACAGTGTTGGCAAGATCAAACCTTGGTTCCTGCTTATGGCTTGTGACGACACAACCCACTATGCATAAAAACGTTTAATTATTGAAAATTCTACATCACGTTGTTATATTGTAACTTTGGTGTATCCTCTTGTTTTCATCTATGGGACAGGTACTTAACCGCCTATGCCCAGCTTCCATAGATAGTACAAATAGGTCAATTCGACATACATTTTAGATGTCCGGACGTCCAAAATTTTGTGTTTTCTGGATTTACGATGTCCAATGAAGTATACAAATGGCACAAATTTGACCATTCAGAGAACGTTCCTTTCTGGAATATATTTGGACGTTGAATACTGAACATTCAGAAGTCTATTCCTGGATTATATTCCTCTGACAACACATCCCTACTTTTTTTACACAACCGCCACATACTATTTTAGATGATTTTTAATTTATTTATTATTTTCGCAACCCGTTGTACACTATTTCTTTTTTTTTAACTAAAAATCGCTGGACCTGAGCGGAGATCAAAGTCACGACACGTCCGTTAAAGTTCTACGTTTTTAACCGCTTGACGATCTCGACCAGCGAGCTAGTTGATATTTTTTTACTAATATGGTTATATTTAAACTTCTGCTGATAGAATGAAATGCAGTAGATTTTGTTTTTAATGACCAATTAAATTAAAAGAAAAAAGAAAATGTATATAGATGGGTATTATCTGATAAGCTAAATAAATAACGGATGAAGGTCCACTGGATGTCAAAATACTACTAAACTTAAAATTAAGTCCAAATATAGGTCTCATCTGAGTATCGATATGCAGCTGTCAAATTAATGATCATAAGCATTGTATTTGAAACTTTTATTTACATGTTTAAAAAATTAGAATATGTACAACATAAATATAAAATAAAACACAATTCCCGGTGGTTTTGGGTCGGCTTTTCCTAATAAATATTGATTAGGCTAAATATAGCAGCCCTCGCTCCTTGCCAGAGAGGCATTATCAAGGGATTATGGTGATTTTGTCGTCAGTAATTGTCATAGTTTAAAGATTTTTCTTGAGTTAATTTGGTATTTGTCCCCTGAAAAAGCTAGGAAAAACAGGGTTGTCAACAATGTACGTTGGTCTTTCGATAGTCTTGGCTTTTGCGACAATTCACAGGATGACTAACCCGAAAAACCACTCTAAAGAGCCACACAGTCGAAGACAAAATCGGCCTCGGCTGAGGCCCTGCCGGTCAGCTCAACCGCTTAGTCGTTCGACTAGAACTTGTAAGTATCTACATTGAGTTAATTGTTGTTCAGTAAGTTATACACAGTGGAGGGTCCTGTTATTGTCGTCGATATATGTTCAAACACAGATGACCGTGCTTTCTACGAACGCCGTCTTCCCGATGTATGTTGATGATGCTATCCCTCAACCCATCGGGGAGGGATCGCGCGTAGAATTTTTCAGCTCTTGATGTCATGAAATCCTTCATGTATGGCATACCCTAGAGCTAGCCTCATACATCTGTTTTGTGCGTTTTGCAGCTTATAGTAATGAGTTTGTGCTACGGAGCAAAAAACCGGACAATCATAAGTCAGTATTGATCTAAATACTGTCTTGTATAGTAATATTTTATTAGACTACTCCGTCTATTCATAAGAGGGTGAAGGGTTCTTAAAATATCGGGTTGACGAAACGTTAATCCCCTATCCAGCTGAAATCCTAAGTATTTTAGAGAATGCTTGGCCACTGGCTGATTTTGCACTTCCGCCTGCGCTAGGAAAGGTCCTGTTATTGTGGAGTTAATCTTAATACAAAATTGTCTGTCCGTCAAATATGTCTTGATTATTTTCACAATGTGTTCAGGAAAGTCATTCACAAGTATTTTGTGTATTAAGCCCACGGATCCATACTGTGTCAAAGGCCTTTTTACAATCTAAGGTTACTAATACCGTTTGAAGGTCATTATTGAATCCTTCTTTGGCGTGATGCGCGATTCGGAGAACTTAGGCTACGGTACTATGTCCCTCCCAGAAACCGTATTGTTCCCGTGGGATAATTTGTAAACGTTGTTCAGTTTTTTTAAGTCGAATCAAAATTAACGTGTGTTATTTTAGCGATTGTGTTCAGTAAGGAAATGGGGCGGTAACTATCGATCTTATTGGTCGGTTTCCCTGATTTTTACATTGGAATAATATTGCCCATTTTCAAGCCACTGGGATAGTGTTGTAGCTTGAAAATGGCATTTATTATATGGAATAGCTGCACGACAGCTTTTTTACTGAGGTTTTTGAGTCAAATATTACTGATATCGTCCGGTCCCAGGCCTTTTCTATTTTTGAGACTTTTAATTACTTCACACACCTCTTTAGGGGAGGTAAAAAAGGAATATGGCACTACTTGTGGTTTTAACTGTTCCAGCGTATTTACAAGAAGTTCAATACGCTGTTTTTCAGGGTTGTTTTCCTGGTCGTTGATGAAGTTACACTGAAAGAATTCGCCGAAGGTCCTCGTTTCATTGTGGGAAGCAGCGAGTTCGGTTTTTTAAACCTTTTCACCACTTTCCGCAATGAACTGTCGTGTGGTTTGAGCTCCGATAGGGTAGTTGTCCATTTTTTGTCACGATATTCTTTGATTATTTTGTTGATGGCATTTGCGATGTTATAAAGTCTTATACTATATCTTCGCTTTGTCTGTGTAGTTGCCATCTCTTTCTAATAGAATTTTTGTGATTTATCATGTCCGTAATTATTATAAGCAATGTGTCATTGTGTTGTTTTTGCATTTTAAGTGTGGTTGTAGCATCTCTAGCTTTTTGTATTGCGTTAATTAAGTTGTTTGTTTCAATTTCGATTGTTTCATTTGATTGAATATTATTGTTGATTTTAATTAATTTATTAAGTTCCAATATATATGACGCCCAATTTGTCGATTTTTAGTCGTAATATTGCCTATATTGTCAGGGTATTTTTTGAGTTGTCCAGATATTTTCAGCTAATGCAATATCCAGTGTACTAGGAGTGTATGTCGCGCAGTCCGGAAAAAATATCAGTTCTTCTGTATAGTATACGATGTGATCGTTAACTTCGGCGAAGTCTCTCAGTAGCAGTCCACTGGGGTTGGGGATGACAAAATTAGCGACCCATTCCAGAAGAACCCTATTAAATGGTTGCTAGGGGTCTGATAAGCACCTATAATGATTAGATTATTAACCTCTATGTTCAAGTTTGGTGGAAACTTGCGGCCTTCTTAATTGTTTAAACAACATCTTTCTTTATTATGATAGCTACCCCTGCCACACCTTGTTTTTGTTGTAAGTTGTCTGTCCTGTCTAATTACTATAAATTCTCTTATTTTTACTTTGTCCGTTGGTTTTAGGAACATCTCAGTCAAAATAAGGATGTCAAATTTTTGCTTGTGAATGAAATTGCTTACAAGGCCGATCTTGTTAAGCAGCCCGGGCACATTATAAAAACAAATTCTCAGTTTGTCTCTAATTACAGTATTGAATTAAGTTCCTGATGTTGAATTTATCTAAATTTGTCATGAAGTTATTAAATGTCATAAGGTATTGTGCAGGGTTGTTATTACACTTACGTAATTGGACATTTAGCTCTCTGACAGCTCGAGTGAGTTCTGATATATTTATCATACTATTTAGTTCAGTAAGTTCTTGATTTAAATCAAAAATATCATCCATAGTGCCCTCACGATAATTTGGAGTTTGTGGTTGTCTGCGGGATTGCTGATTTTGGCTGGTTTGATGGTTTTGCCTGCTCGTAGTGGGAAGAGAAGGCAAATCTTTCATTCGGGGGTTGGGTTTTGCCTTATTCCAGGCATTAGCTGCTGATGGGGGTGCGGGGATGAATTTTCGGGGTTGGACTTGAGAAAGTTTCCTCTCTTTCATCCTGGCGGCTCTTTCGGTCCTAGTGAGATGATCACCGGCGCACTTTAAGCATTTCGGCGGTCTGCCGCAGTTTGAGGTGGCATGTCCCCATGTCTGGCACCGGTGGCACGGGATTATGCTCCTTGTAGATTTTCAGAATTCTCAAATCACTCTGGTATTCTCGACTACCCTCACGTTTTTGTTGAGGTAGTCGAGCGTAATAACAGACAGGATCAGTTACCACTAAGAATAGGGTCTGTGTTTTGTCGTTATTTTGAAGATCTCCTTAGGTTTAATCTCGTAGGATTCGATTAAGTCCTCCTCTATGGGTTCTTTTTCGGTCCCGTTAGCCAGGCCTCTCATGACAAAAGCATGGGTTTTTTCCGACTTGCTTATGTAGGTGTGGTGGGGAATTTCTGTCTGTTTAATACTTCCCAGTAGTGTTTCATATTCTTCTATGTTTTCAGTGAATATCACCATCGTGGCGTTGGTATATTTCACTGAATATTTGCCTTTGATGATGGCTTTGAGGTCGCTCTTAAAGGATGCGTGGTTGTTTGTGCACCCATCTACCACTATGAGGGGATAACCGATTTTTTGTTTAGTTTGGGTGCCTTTTTGGCGGTTTGCACACTTCTTGGTGCCGAATTGTCTTTAATTGGGAGGTTGGGGATGGCTTTTCCCTTTGTTAAGACTGCGAGTACAGTATTTAATTCATGTTCTGTTTCGCTTTCACTAAGTGAATCGTACTTGTTACTAATAGGAATTGACGCTGCTGCCTTTCTTTTGAGTAATTTTACGAAATTTGTTTTGGATTTTTTGTATTTCTTTGGTTTTTGGAAACCATTATCTATTTTGTCGGATTCGTCTCCCCCTTCTTCTTCATTATTTTCTATTAATGGGAGAAGTGGTTTTGGGTTTGGTGTAGTGACTTTTTACTTTAGAGATGGCAGATATTTTGGTTAGTTGCCGGTGGTGGTGGCTGTGTGACAGTTTGTTGTTTGGAAACTGTTCCTGTCTGCTTATTTTTGATTCATTTGCTCTCCTCTTCACTGGAGGTTATTAAATGTAACTCCGTACCGAAATTTAGGACCTTAGCGGTTATGGAACTTGGCATCGATAATTTTTTGTACGCGGACTCGAACTTATCCGCGGTTTCGCAGGTAAGGATGTTTTTCGGGATTTTCCAACTATCGCGGGTCTCACTGTTTTTAGTGTCACTGTTGGCGTTTAGATTTTCCGCGCTCACGATAGGATTATTTTCACTATTATTATTCACGCTGATGCCTAGAGGCAAATTTTCAGCACTTTGGTACGTAAAAGTGTTCTCTTTATTGCTGGGGGATTCATCTACGAGCATAAGGAGGTCGCCGTATAGGATACTACCCTCCTCGGAGAGTGGTGAAAACAAATTAATTTTTTTTTTTTTTTTGGAGTGAGGGTAGCCATATGTGAGTAGTAGGGATTAAGTGTAAAGGTTAAAGAAAAGGTCCTTTATTTCTCACAAGTCAATTTATTGGCGACCGGTTTCGAAGTTGTCACTTCATCATCAGGCACACCTTGACTAATTCCATAAAGGAAGCGCTACAAAAAGTTTAACAGAACGAGTTAAAAAAGTCATGTGTAATAAGTATTTTTTAAAAAAATTTTAATGTAGGTTAGGTTAAACCACCAGATGTCTTTTTGAATAAAATAATGATGAAGTGACAACTTCGAAACCGGTCGCCAATAAATTGACTTGTGAGAAATAAAGGACCTTTTCTTTAACCTTTACACTTAAATTAATTTTTCTCTATCGATTTGAAAGTTGAAGGATTTTTTTCCTGGATGAGGTTTCTTCCTTTTTAGCACCTGGGGGATGTTACAAAACCTCCTTAATAGCTTTTTTTATACCCATATCACTGTCCGTTTGAGTGCTAGAGCCCTACTAGCTTTCTCCGAGCTTTTTTCCGGGTTTCAAGAAAAAAATTTCGTGGGTCTGTTGTCTTTAGAGATTTTGACTCCGGGCACGACAAAGGGTTGGGTTTTGGTGCACTTACTTGATACTCTTTGGTAAAAAAATTGTAAAATAAAAAATATATTTTTAGTTAAAAAATAAGTCAGTTGAGTGTGAACCTTAAACAGGAGTTTGGAAATAATTATTAATATTTTTGCGTTTGCCGTTAAAAGAAATTATTTAATGTGGATTGTAAAATTTGCAGTATAAAATGGTTTTGACGATAACGAGGGCAAAAATGTATAATTGTGCCGAAGACACACCAATATGAATATTATGATCAATTTGTATTTAATTTTCCTCTGAAACCAGCAACTTTTGATATTCTCTTTAATAGAGAAATATTGTCTTTAATACGCAATATTTTATTTTTATAAACAAATAAAACGTCTTTGGTATTATCGGTCGATTATATTTTAATTATTTTAGCACTGCTTATGTTTCGAAATTAAGATCCCATGTATATACACACACGCGCACGTACGAACGCACGACGTACGCATGCACGAACGTATGCAGGCACGCACGTATGCACGCAGGCACGCACGTAAGCACGCACGAACGCACGCATGCACGTACGCACGCAGGCACGCTCGCACCCACACACACACACACACACACACACACAAACACACACACACACACACAAACACACAAACACACACACACACACACAAACACACACACAAACACACACACACACGCACACACGCACACACACACACACACACACACAAACACACACACACAAACACACAAACACACAAACACACAAACACACAAACACACAAACACACAAACACACAAACACACAAACACACACACACACACACACAAACACACACACAAACACACACACACACACGCACACACTATTAGAAACAAAAGGATTTGTATCGTACATAAAAATTTTAAAGTGTATGTTATGCCCCTAAATGTTTTTTAAAAAATTTAACAAAACTATGACTTCACCAGAAGATGGGATTTTAATTCGGAAACGTAGTACTGAGATAAAAATATAATCGACCGATGCTACCAAAGACGTTTTATTTGTTTGTAATAATTCTACTACGATCAAGAAATCTTTCTCAATTTTTTGTCGTCTCTCATATACCGTTTCTTTGCATAACAGCAACATTGTGGGCTTATGCTGATATTTCAACAATGAACGGGTATTGATTACTGCGCAAGCTTGCTCAAGAGTAATTCTTCGCCGAGGTGGTGCAGGATAATTAACTCCATGTACTCTGCTCCACCAAAATTAAACGTAATAGAGTTAACGCGGGTCTTTTGACGAGTGTAATTTGAACGCGATAGAGTGACTCCCCGTACCCAGAGTGAGCTGCCAGAATTCAGCACTATAATATAGTGTTCACGGTAATTGAAAGTACAATGGACCAACCAGACCAACAAGGGACTAAATTAAGATTTGAAACGTTCTATGCTATCTGGGGTATTTTTAATTCCAATTTTATTTTGTGTAAACCAGTAGAGTTAAATTGAATTTTCTTATTATTACCATGCGCAGTTTCTAAAATTAATTTTTATCTAGATATTAAAATAAAGTTCCTGAGACCGATTTACTTATACTTTTTAAGTGGCCTAGTTAAAAATTTGTAAATTTCTGTTAAACTTCTCCCTCGCTTTGGTGTACCTACACTGTCAATTCCAACACTTAATGAAATAATTTATCTGATTATGAATTATTTCAAAAAAAAACAAACGAAACCTTCAAATTATAAATTATTATAAATCAAATCTTCTAGTTCACTTATAGTAAAAAAAGTGTCTAATTTGGATATTACATCCCATTTCTTTACAATAGTGATCAATTGTATTTTTTATTGATAATTACTCATTATGTTTTTTCTAACTTTTATGATTCTGCGGTATAACAAAGGTTTCAAAACTTTTATTTAAGGTTATAGATGTATTATAATACTGCCGGATAAGTTTTCAAAAGAAAAAGAATCTATTATAAGAGCTCTTGGGGCAGATGTGGTACGAGTTCCTTTGGCAAATCCGCCCGATTCTCCTGAAGGAATGTTTGGAAAGGCGCATATATTATACAACCAGATTCCGAATTCTGTTATCATAGATCAGGTAAGTTAATGCAATGCTTGAATGTAATATACTATTTTTTCTTTAAGCGACTCAAGTAAAAAATAAAAATATTTTATTAAAAATGGCGACTTTACCTTTAAAAAGTCTTGTCCAGTCTAAGCAAAAAATAAAACAATAATGCTATATAATTAATAATTATTATAATTAGATTTTATAATATAAAATGACTCAGAGTTTCGAAAGTTCTTTTAAAACATTAGAGCTAGTAAGAGTTGGAACTTATCATCAATTTTTTTTATTCTATTTTATTCTTTGAAAATACTATCAATTTTAAAGAATCATTAATACGATTAGAACTCCTGTTGTCGGGCTAGAACTTTGTGTTTATCATATTTTTAAATAATATAAAAATTAAGTTTACAATAACTATCAAAACTTGAGTTTTACTATGTTTACTTCTTAATTTTCTTAAAATTTCTAAATCCATTTTTCAGCCCTCTACCGCCCCCTTTAGGGGTGAATAGTTAAAGTTTGAAACTTTGACGTACAATACCTACTGAAAGTTACATTTTACTGTTTTTATTTACACTTATTTTTTTTTTAATATTTTTAAATAACATCTTCAGCCCTCTATTACCCATTTTAACCAATGTTTAATCCTTTTGTCTTGAAAAGATAAGGTAAAAATTACATGAACAACAAATAAATACTACACAATTAAAACTAAACAACTCATTTATTTAAAAAATGGTAAAAAGTACCAAAAGAAATCAGACATGAAAAGCTAACAAATCAAACATAAAAGCTTACAAATCAAATAATAAAAAGCTAAACCATCAATTACAAAAAACATAGTAATAAAAATTTTTAAACTTCTTTTTATTTTATTCTTGAGCTAATAAAGCCGTCTCTTGATCTGGACCAATTACTATTTTTACGCATCTCTCCACGGATTAAGTATGGCAAGGGATCTTTGGAAAATCAAAGTCTGCAATTTCGGTTTCGTTTATAAGGTCCCTAAGATTATCATCAGTAAAATCCTTTAAAACACGAGGCGGTGTCGATGTGACACCGCGATGTGCACTCATTCCAGTAAATTAACTCAAAGTAGTCTAGCACTGAAATTAATTTTTGGTACCACAAAGGGTCTTACTCCAACGGTTTCTCGACTGGTTTCTCTAGCTTTTAAGATTCTTCGTAGAGATAGTTGCCGAACCCATTCGCGAGTGTCACTTAGCATACACAAAAGAATGTTTTAGAGGTATATAAAATACGCGTTTCTTTGGATTACCGTATCCACAATACTTTTTAAATTATCTCTTAAATACCGTGACACTTCAATCGTTTTAAATACATGCAAACTACCACTAGTGGAACTGAAATTTAGTTTACTATTAAACCACATTGGGACATACACTTTAATTTTGAATTAGGTCATATCCGTAAGGCTTGATGTTGGGTTTTCCATTCCAGCATAGAGCCGAAAAACACGATTTGCCATTGTGAACCATCTAGAGTGCGCTAATTTCTCAGGATTACAGTGTGCTAAATTTGGTGAAAAATTGCCGCTTTATATTTTATTGCAAATGTCATATAAATATGATTGTATAAGGTAAAACAGTTAAAAATTTAATTCAATTATAAGTCAATTATTTTATAATTATCCTGATTCTTACCATATTCTTAAAACAGATTTATAGCAGCCCTAAGGCTATCCCGTGAAATTAAAAGTTTTATCATTAACATTAAAAAGATTTTATTTTGTTTAGGTACTTTAATAAATTTTTAAATGTTAGAATGGCATGCAGCAAATTATACTTAATCAATAGCGAGAGAGTGCAATTTAGAGGTCAAGTTTTTCTAGTAACGAACGAGATTGAACACAGGCGCGAATCTGGAATGATTTTGTTTGGAAATAATTTTATTCGTCACCGCCATCTTGTTTTTGCTTTCTCGTAAAATCTCTAGGTTACAATTTAATAAATTTCAGTATTTTTTCAAGCAGGCCAGGGGGGTAATTACCATTTTAACCATCTTGTATCCACGCCTAATTGAACATGTAGTAAATTTTTACTTGATCTGTAACGAAACCATGATATTTTTTTGTCAAGATTGTAATACACCTTGTATAATTAATTTCAACAAATTTGTACAAATAATATTGTTTGGGTTACAACTAATCGTAAACCAGTCAGGAAAAAATGTATTCCTACAAGACTGCTAAAATTTACTCGATAGGGTACCTCAATGTACTTTTGTTTGAAGAAAAATAAAAATTTGTAAGTTAAATCGTATGTGTTTCAGTTAATTGTAGTCTCCGTAAATGTTTTAAAATTATTATTAGAAATTTTCAGTGCATTAATTTTGACCTATAGCGAGGTCAGTTTATCAAAAACCCTTATTTTCTTTGAATGTACTAATAATTTCCATTTACCGCACGTATGCACGTATTTACTATGCGAAAAACAATTTGTATCACTTGGGGCACTTTTTAGCAAAATTTACACAAAATCACAAATTTTGTACCTCTTATATCGAAGAAGAAAAATACGAAGTGATTAGTAGCAGGGGGCCATCAAGCGATAAGGATAGTATGTGACTAATTTTTTAAACTTCTTACCGATTTGGATAGTAATACGACACTACCTGAATTAATTATTCGGGAAGACAAGCCAAGAAAAATAACTTTATTGTAGAGAAAAATTTTCTTAACCATGATGTATAATTTAACTTCCAGCTATCCCTACAATTTGTTGAGAATAATTATATATGCAGCGTTTGAATAACCACATCCGATGCATTTTTTACATCTCGAGCGTTTGTTTATCCACATCGGACACATCTTCTACATCTGCGTTTGTTTATCCCAGATGTAGCCGTCCAGATTACATTTTTTACATCTCGATTTGAAATGAGATGTGAATGGGATGTTCGTTCCATGCCAGAAAGTAGGTGTTCTGTGAAGCCAAGATTATTAATTTATCCTTTATTTATGCCAGCGTGAATATAAAAGTGATTAGTGTTTTTAATTTTTGGTTAGAACCTTAGATTATACAAACCTTAGATGGAACATAAGACACTGCGCATAATCCCATTTCGAAATTATTCACACCCACTAATCAAAGTTGAGAACATCACATGTCAGAGCGTTGTCCATCCAAATTTAATGTGTCAACGAGAATTAATTTGGTATTTTAGTCACTTATATTTTGGAAATTAACGTTAAAAATGCCAAGATGTGTTATAAAAAGCTTTATTTATAATAAAAGTGCGAAATGTAACGGAGATAAAAGAAACTTACATTTATTTCGGTGATATATTTCATTTTTAAAGATTCTGTCGACGTCCATATTTGTTGATTTGAAAATAAACAGAATCGGACTTGGTCATTGGTACATGTTATAGGTAGCAAATAAATGTTATTATTATAAACTGTTTACTATTTCTTGTTTCATGGGGAATATTTTTTCAGGAAGTGGAAAGAGTAACATACAATCAAATACAAAAATATCAATTTCATTGCCAATTTATTCGTTTCAAACTTCACAACTGGTTTCAATAGTTTTTTTTTAAACTATTTATTTAGTATTTCCCTATAACAGTGTTACTCAAAGTGTGCTCCGCGGAGCTCTGGGGCTCCGCAAAGCCTTTGTGAGGGCTTTGCATGCGAAGAAAATATTCATAAAAAAAAACAGTACTATCGCCACAAAATGGAGGGACCTGGCTTGAGGACCTTTTTTTTGAGAAGTAATTTTTTTAAGTTACTAAGAGGAAGGAGGATATGATTTTGCTTGAGGACTTTTTTTTATTTTATTTTTTATGGGTGAAATGGATTTGGGATAATTCTTGCAAGGAATCTTTGGAATTATTCAAAAATAAATTAACAACAAATTATGTTCTTGTACATTTTCAGCCTGAGTTGCCGATTAAATTAATCGTAGATGCATTAAATGTGGGAATAAGGGCCATGATATGTCATGTTTTTGAAGAAAATATTGAGAAATCTATAGCTTCTGCTTCGCGTACCTTATCAAAGTCCGAACAAAAATATTCTCATATTGAAAGAGAGGGCCTTGCAATGATTTATGGCTTAAATATATTTAATGTATATTTATATGGACATTTCTTTTCTCCTAGTTACAGATCACTTACCTCTGGTAACTATTTTTGACCCAGCTAAAGGTATATCCCAATTTTGAGCCAATAGACTACGTAGATGGGCAGTGATATTGTCAAATTACAATTATAAAATTGAATATGTGAAATCGGAGCATAATATAAAGCCAATTTTTTATCACGTTTACCTATTGAAAGTCAAAAAGAAGAAAAATTTCGCTTTTCAAAAAGGTTCCGTCGCTAAAAAGTTTGAGAAACACTGCTCTATAATAATATGGGATCTATTTAATTTACATTTTGATATTTTCTCTAATTTTGACATATAAAGTAATATATTTTGTAATCGCAGCAAGTGTCAAAACGATCTACTTTATGCAATCAGTTGCAAGTAGAAGTAGAACATTATGCAACTGATTATGAAAAGTTGATTATGTCACCAGTTACGAAATGAAAATAAATAAAACTGCATCTTTTTTGGTTTTTAAGTCGAAAAATCGAGAAATTGAAAATCGAGAAATCGGAAATCGAGTAATCGAAAACGAAAAATCGAAAAAACCTAACATCGAAAAAAAAAAAAGGCAATGAATAGTGACATTTCACATTTGAAAATATTACGTTTAACAACAAAAAAGGAAACAAAAAAAAAGAAAAGCTGTAAATTGCGTTTTATTTTTTAAATAGTTGAACACCGTTATTAAAAACTGCCCAGAAATGTTTGGGGTAAAATTTTGACGTACTCCTTTAAGGATAATGGGTAAAAACGTTTTTTTTTAATTTCTCGCGGGTAATGTCAAAAATCAGATCGGCAACACTGCACATGTCCCTTATTATTATTATTACCATTGAAAAAAAAAATAATAAACTCGTAAGGCAATCAAATAAAACAATTTTCTGAAATATTTGATTGGAAGTACCTACAAAAA